AGAGAGAGAGAGAGAGAGAGAGACAGAGAGAGAGACAGAGAGAGAGGGAGAGAGACAAAAAAAAGAGATGCATTATGGAGTCATTATATGGGTGTGTGTCTATCAGAATCTGTCTGTATGTCTACCTGTATATCCTGATTGTGGAGATTGATAAAGTGCGCCTTCTTCTCTGTCTCTTGTCCTCGCTTGGGGCAGATGTCTGCCTTGCCGTCAAAGGGAGACACAGTGATCGTTTTGCCACCCTCAAACCGAGGCAAATTGTCGGACAGACCACCGTCAATGTACTTCTGCAGATAAACCGGGCAAAACGTCAACATGATACACCTTTCTCGTAATTTTAGTAAGTGTTTTACGGCACTTGCAACATGACTAGGTCTTATAAGTGCCCATTACAAGGGAGTGACCAAAGAAAGGAGAGATAAAGACAATAGATATTTGAAATAAAAGAAGGAGCAAACAACACAAGAGCACCCACAACCCCCCACAAAAAACTTCTCTTTGGATACTGTTTTGGGTTGTTTTTTTAAAGGCCCATTACAGGTGTGGGATAGTAGTTCGTTTTGCCTAAAGAGAAACTTGTCAATAAAGGAAAAATGTACATATGAAAGGGTAGATTGGTTTCAGTAAATAGAAACACAAAATAGAAACATGTCAATTGGATACAAGAACGGTTATCTAGTTCAGGTCAGGTAAAAAATAATGCAGATGGAAAGGAAAGAAGAAGGACCAACAAGTAGCACCTTCTAACCACCCACACAGAATAGGATAAAACATTAGAATGAGACGACTCCTTTTACTTTAGACACTGGCAAAACGGGATTTATAAAAATAATATATACAGCATAACACGGATAACTTCAATTCATCGGGACTGGCCTCAGTAGTTCGAGGAATAATTTACAAAGATATAGAAGGGGGGAAAAAACGGGACAGCAGGCGCAGTTCAACGGTTGCACAATTTCGAGTGTTCTGTGTTCGACCTGTCCGTGTTTTACTGAATATATTACAATATATTACATATGTACATCGTGGGGTTGGGGAGAGTGGGGGGTGTTTTTGTAAGTGGGATTTAAATAATTCCTTAACTTCATTATTAGGAATCAAAAGTTATCTTTGAAAGAGACTGGACTTACCTTTCCTCTGAGAGCCGGTAGCTTGACCCCAGCATACACGGGGATATAGCATGACGCAATCAGGGCCTGTGTGTGGAGAGGGAAATAACAGGGGATGAAGGGGGACGAATAGGATACGTTTTCTTTCTCTTTTTCAGGGTCACTATCATTCTTTTTGTGTGTTGTGTGCTTGTGTGAGTGAGTGTATGTGCAGTGTGTGTGTGTGTGTGTGTGTGTGTGT